TTCCAGTATCCCTATATGTTCCCTATATAACCATTACCCCTAAACCCTTTACCCCTAAACTCTTTGTCTTCATCAAAAACGATCTTTGCTTCAGCACATGCATGCTTTATACCTCTAGCTTGCGGCTTGTATCAGCGCCCTCAGACCAACTTGTCAAATCTCATGTCCTTTGCAGATTAGCTGACATCTTTACATGTATCTGCCAAATGCCTGTCCACGTAGACATTCAGCAGAAGCGAAGAACCCCTGAGTTCCTGCATGTGTTTCTCTTTTGCAGAAAAAAACCCTGAGACCCGTGGAAATCTCAAACGTTCTTCAACTCAACAGGCCATTGCCAGGGACTGGTGATTTTCAGGCCCAGGCCAGCCATTCCATGTCCGCAGGAGGGATGCGGATCTCCTGGAGGCACCCTGTTTCTGATTCCCATGCCTTACGCCTGTTTGTGGTGACCATGTCTTCGAAAACATCAGAGTAAATCCGTTTCTCAAAAATCATGCTTGTCTTGCGCGACTATCTCAAAATCTCGTCATGCTGAAACGCATGACCCCTCTTGCCTCAATCTGCAGCCCATGGAAAGAGATGCTTGCGGTTACAAACATGCACTTCAGCGCCAAGTCCAAGTTGTGGGATCTCAAAGAGCTCAGAACCAGAACAGGCCTCAGAGTGTCATCCTACACCTTCCGTAACCTGCAGCTTTGAGGATGTAGGCGGAATTCCTTCAACACAACTTCTGTAAAGACTGGATCAAGAATTTTTGAAAGAATAGTACTTCCATGTGGCCTCCGAGGATTTCAGAGTGTTTTCCGCCTCCAACCTCAGCAGGGAGCGGCCAGCAAAATCCATTGGGTTACCAGTGAGGCTAGGAATCTCATGGAGAGCCCATCTCTTCTGTCGACCATGCACTTTACCGCTCAACCATTTCCAAAGCACAACCTCACCTGCACCGCTTCACTCCGTAAAGCAAAGTCATCAGTCACTGTCACCAAGGGAAACATGGTCTCCGTCTGTGGCCGTTGCTCAGCGTAGAGCGCTGCACCTGTCTCTGGTGGTAAGCCAAGTTCTGCCACCTTGTCAGCATTCGGAACTCATTCGCGTGATTGTGGACTATGTGGCGTGACAAGAAGCTAGCTAGAGGATGATGATTCTGACCGTTCTCTCTCTCTCTCAGCTTGGGCCGCTGCAAAATTCTGGCAGTCTTCCAAGCAGACAGGAGCTTCCGACTGCAGGCGCTGTGGCTGTGATGCAAGCTTTGCAAGTCCAGCCTCTAGACATAAAGACCAAATGTAGATTGGACATTCCCTAAAAAGTGCAGGTGTTAGTGTTAGGCCCATCCAATCCGGCACAGCGGTAGATGTGTGGCGCATGCCTCTGAAAACCATTTGGCTCGTGAGGTCAGGGATGGTTACTTGATGTGCGAGTCTCTAGGCCCGGGCAACTGATCTCAGGAGCCAATCAGACGTCAAGCAAACGCCGGACTTGAAAACAGTTGGATTCGGCTCTGCGACTTCAAATGCAGCCTGGAACGATCCTACATCCCATCAACAAACCCTTTTCTAGCCCAGAGCCTATCCAGCATGAGGCTTTTGACGGAAAATTCGCCTCAAGCCGGCTGCGGTTAAGCCACCGCATAACACCGCATGGCAATGCCACGGAATGAAATCTATTTCTCCTGGAGCTGGGCTTCACTTGCTCCATGAAAGCTCTCTTCCTGTCTGTTCACCAGACAGGCTGTACAGACAAAGGCTTGAATGATCACGCTCACTTGCCTTGACCTTGGCACTGCCAAACCAACAGTGCAGCACCAGCACGGTACATGTGCAAACTGCCAGTTCCCAGTGAACGCGCCAGATAGTTGTTGTACGCGGCAAATCAAGGACTTTCACGTCACTATTACTTTCCAGAAATTGCAGGAAAGCTGTATTCTGAGAGAGACTGTTTAAATAGATGATGCTCTCCAGCACCAACCTCTCTTAGATCAGCAAACCGTGAATGCGGCAACATGCCTGTCTCTTCTCCCTTCCATTTGCATCAACAGAGTCAGGCCACGAATCCAGACTCGATAGTCCTTGCAGCTCACTGCTGGTGATGTCTCCCGCCATCCACACTTAAATGAAGGAACGAGCATTGACATACTAGGCGCATTGAAAGATTTAAGGCTTAAATCTTTAAATGCATTTGAGTCACTTAGCTTCTTAACTATCAGAATGTTCAGCTTGCATGCACCTTTATGCCACTGCTTTCAACATGCACTTGATGCCAATGGAGCCTGGGATCACGCTCTAATAACAGAAGCCCGAATTTGCTCAAGCTCACTATTTGGGGCCTCGGATTTCTGCGACGACATGGAGCTGTCCTTTATTAGACCAAAGGCTCCAAATCATGCGAGCCCTGCATACTGATGAAACCAGGCGTCAGCGCCCTCAGCGCCCGGAGCCCAGTCGCCATCGACACCGGAGTGCTTGGGACCCAAAGCCACACGAAGTGCCGGAGGAGATCCGATCCTCAGTAGCGGCGGCAACAAGCGCAGGCTCGATAGACCATTTTCGGTTAGGCCACTTATATACACATTTTGGAAGATGGGCAGCCTAACTGCTTGCAATTCCGCAGTCAGCATGTGCGGTTTCTTTGTTCATCCCTGTGGTTAGCAAATCAATGGGGCCCCCAAGGACTTTTTAACTTTACTCTTTGTCAGGAAAGCTGCTCTGCAATGTACAGGTCGTGCTCCGCACAAAGGATGTTCACAGGGGCATCTACCTGTACGGACGAGCAGACTGCAGCCTGCACAACTATTTGCTACATTTCGCTGCGCGAACTCCTTGAGTCAAACCTGGGCTGGATTGGAGTTGAAGAGCGTCTGCAAAGGCCTGGAGTTCGGCCCGGCGGCGCAGCTGCAGCAGCGTCTTGATGCGGTTTCGCACATCCTCCAGGGCAGGCAAGTCATGACGTCAGACCCAATGGCCAAATTCAAACGAAAGCTTCAGCTACCGCCTGGACCCTGAAGCGCACCTCGCCCCAATCGCAGATGTGGTCCCAAAACACGCATGGCAGGCCTTTGGGCTAGCTTGTGTGCTGTGGGCAGCTTGGACAAATTTTGCAAATGGTTTGTGATCGAGACCGGAGTTGCAACAAGGCATTTCTGTGCCAAGGGCAATTTCAGGTTCAAGCAAAGGTGCCTGGGTGAGTGAGAATATACGCATAGCCCACGAGAACCTTGTCGTTCGGAAAAGGCCTGAGCACCGGAATTCACAACTACAGAATCTGCTCAGCTGCCAGTGTACCCTGAGCGTTCCCTTCGGCCCCTCCGAGGCCCTGGCCAGTGTGCCTGCGTACTCCCAGTGTCGTGGTTGTCTAAGAAAGTCACTGCATGCGTCGGCATCCAGCCAAGGAGGCCTGGCAAAAGGCAGGACCGAAGGATTGATCTTTTTTGCCGCACCCTCTGAGTTCTGATTTGTCCACAACTCTCTCATGAATGCCTGGAGGCTTCCCATTGCTGTCCTTCAGGCGCCAGTACTGCGTGTTGCGCACTGCCTCCTGCCACACTGCAGGCAGCAAGATGAAACGGTGTCACACCCCTTGTCGCATGGCTAGGCCTGGAGGATCCCTTTCGTAGTGAAGTCGAAAGCTGTGCTCCTCAGATGCATGGACTTCCTTTCTTAGCGCATGTCCAGAAAAATGCTTGCAATGATGTGAACACCTGACAGGAGCCACGAATCCGAACGCAGACACATGACACATACGTGACAAAAGATAGCACAAGCCACACGCAACAGAGTTCGTGGAACTTGTTTCCGGCGCCCCGGACCAATAAAGGACTTTCTTTTCGCTGTTCCTTCTTCCAAGGCTACACAGCCTTCCAGGAGGGTGCCGAGGCACTGCTTCCAGTCCGCGCACGTCCAAGTGTCCGGAGTCTAACCATCAAGGTCCCAAATACCCCACATACCGGCGTACTCACAGAACAGCAATCCAGCGAGATAAAAGTTCGGTTACGGGGGTCAAAGTCTACCGCTGTGTTTTGCTACATTCTAAAAGAGGAACTATATAAAGCGACTATGTTTTGCTGTATTTCAATACAGGAACTACATAAAAGGATAGCTTTTTAATACATGTTGTAGCAGCAGCTATAGAAGGGGAAACGGCTTCGCATAGCGTCACAACACTTGTGCAAATGCTCAAGGCGCAGCACAACTGCGAACATCCAAGTTCCTTTCGTCCCGATACGCGTGATCATCCAAAACTACCAGGAGGTCATATGGGCGAACTGCATTTAGTCACAGCAATAAAGTTTCAAGATTTCCAACGTTTGTGCTGTAACTATGTGCCCGTGATCATAAGACTCAGGAGCTTTGCATTTCAAAATGCTCCTTGTTTGGTATTCGTTAATTAACAAGCGCCATTTTTCGCGGTTTGAATGTGTTGGCATTCTGCCTGACATTCTGGATCGGATCCACCGCTTTATTACAGACCATTTTGCTTCAATAGGATTCGTTGTGAACCCGTTACTGTTGACAATTTCGCCTTTACTATGATTCACAATTTCGTGCGGCAACTGAGCTACTGTAAGGTGCTTTTGTGCACGATATGCTTTCACAGCTGCTACTGTCGCTTGCCACTTAGCACTCACGAAAATGTCGTTTTTCTTCAGGTTGAGGAAGCGTAAATTCGACATCATCTCCTTCTTGCCCCGCGGTCTCCCATCAAAAGCTTCATCAGGATGACAAAGGATACGGAAGATGAAGTGCGTTTTCCCGTGCCCTTGTAGGATGGCACCCCAAAGCCACACATGATCACGTTGAGGTCGGCCGTATTTAGCCAGAATTCAAATGGATGCTCGTTCGTCACTTTGAAGATGATCCCGTTCAGCTGTTTGACTCGACTGCCTGAGATGGTCTGGATGTAACTGGGTATTAGTATACTATACTTTAAATGTTTTAGCTGTGGCACCATCTGGCAGGGTACCGATGTAAACTTCGTGTCCATGTGGTGCTGTAGGGATAGGAACATCGTCATTTGTGTTCGGACCTCGGATACTTAATTTTAACATGAGAAAAATATAAACTGATTACACTGTTTTTGTAGAAATGTGTGTGTAGAAATTGTACTGAGAATAACCCAAGCATCTCTGAAGGAATATGTGAATATACGCATTGAGCTCATCACCAAAGCCACGCTTTCTCATTAACTCCCAGCTGCTGCACATGGCTCGGAGCTATAAATCTATGGGATTACTACGCAACCTACGTACTAGTTTCCAGTAAGCCAATGGGCACACACATACATGGATAATTCTAGCAAGTTAGTAAATAATACAGTAGTACGAGACATAAATAAGACTAATTTCCAGAATTCTTAAAACCAATGCAGGAAAAAACCCAAAAAAACAAAGCCAAAAAAACAAAAAAAACAAAACCCAAAAAAAACAAGACCAAAAAAAAACCAAAAAAAAACAAAAAAAATTACAATATTTCGGAACTCTTGGGAAGTTGCTACTGAATTTCCAAGAATTCCAAAATATTGGTTTTTTTGGTTTTTTTGGTTTTGGTTTTTTTGGTTTTTTTGGTTTTTTTGGTTTTTTGGTTTTTTGGTTTTGGTTTTTTTGGTTTTTTTGGTGTTGTTTTTTTGTTTTTTTTTGGTTTTGGTTTTTTTGTTTTTTTCCTGCATTAGTTTTTAGAATTTCCCTATACTATTTACAATAAAGAATTTAGGGTTTCATAAAAACCCGTACAACCACAGCCCTTGAAGACGCCGAAGACCAGCTCATCGAAGCTCATGATGTGGACCTGGGACAGGGCAGAATGTAGCAAAACGCAGCGGTAGAGTTTGACCCCCGAACCAAAAGTTCTTACCCCCGCCAACATATCCGGGTATGAGCCTCTCTGCTGCTCAAGGTGGCGGTGAAAATAATCAGTCGACTCCCATCAGCCCCATCGCAATCATAACAGCAACACATAATATCCGCCGACCCCGAAGCGGGGGTCGGCGTCAGTGAAGACCCATTGCCCCTCCTTCACTTGACCTGTATCCCCGCCCCGGCCATGAAAAGCAATGTTTTAAGGGCTCTAGTACGGGCTCCCAGTCCATGCCCAACCCCCCCCCCCCCCC